CTGTGTAATATGAATAAATAAAAGATTTATGGAGCATAAACACCTTCCCTGTTTACTGTGCCAATAATCTTTTGAATCAAAAATGGTGGAGCCAATAAAAAAGACGTGTACATAGAAATTCTAACTTGTCACTATGACACAGCAAAGTTGACATGATAATGGTAGTGTTGTGAGAAAATGAGTTCATCAAGGAAATGGGAAACACTTTTTCTTCTTATGCTTGGGTTTGTTGATTTACTAGTAAGCTTTCTTTCAGTCTGTGCTTCTCAGCATTGAAGTTTCTGAAGTTTGGCTGGGTTTGTGCCTTTACCCACAAATTATTGATATCATTAGAGTCTTAAATGGTTGGGAGGTGGGGAAGGGACCTCTGGAAATCTGCTTGTCCAACCTCCCTTGCTCAAAGCAGGGTCATGTACAGCAGGTTGCCTGAGGCAATGTCCAGTCAAGTTTTGGATAGCTCCAAGGATGGAGGCTCCACAACCCTTCTGGGTAATCTGTTCCAGTGTTTAAACACTATCACAGTAAAGAAGACTTTTTACTTATGTTTAAATGAAATTTCTCAACTTGTGTCTGTTGCCTCTGGATCTTGTCACTGGGCACCACTTGGAAGAGTCCAGCTTCCTCTTCTTTGCTCCCTCCATTCGAGTATTTATAGACATTGAGAAGATCTGCCTGCACTCTGAGCCTTCTGATTCCTAGACTAAACAATGCCATCTCTCTCACTCTGTTCTCCTGTGACAGGTGCTCCAGTTCCTTAATCATCTTCATGGCCTATTGCTGGACTCGCTTCAGTACGTCCATATCTGTCTTGTACTAGGGAACCCAGAGCTGGGCACAGTACTCTGGATGTGTCTTTGTCTTGCTAGTGCTGAGCAAGCAGGAAGGATCACCTCCTTTGACCAGTCAACACCACTTTTTCCTAATGCAGCCCAGGAAGAAGGCAGCTGTCTTTGCTGCAAGGGTGCATTTCTGGTTCTTGGTCGGTTTGTTGTACACCAGGACCCCAGGTCCTTCTTTGCGGAGCTGCTTTCTAGATGGGCAGCCTCCAGCCTGCACTGGTGAACAACGGGGTCATTGCTTCTCAGGTGCTGGACTTTGCGTTTCCCTTGATTGAACTTCATGAGTTCTTGCCAATCCATTCCTCCCTCTGAGTGGCAGCACAGCCATCTGGTGTGTCAGCTCCTACTCCCAGTTTTCTGCTGTACGTTTGTGAAGATGTCAGATAAAGCTGAGTTCAAACTGAAACAGTAGATAACAAATTTACTAAGACTGAACCGAGCTAAACAGATTGGGATGGGGAAGAGGGTAGGAAAGAGGCAGGAAATGTGTATGAGGAATCATACAAGTGGTCTTTATTGTTTTAAAACAGTCAGAAGTTTTTCTGTTCTCAAATTTTTAACATTGACTGTTTTAGGAGGGCTCTGACAATGAGGAAGAAGAAGGTGAAGAAGAGGAGGAAGAAAACACAGATTATCTTACAGACTCCAATAAGGAAAATGAAACTGATGAGGAGAATACAGTATGTATTGTTACTTTAGATAAGTGAATTGACTTTTGCATCCTTGCTTTTTCTTTACTGAGTTTTTATAGCTGATGCTGCTCATAATGTATCTGGGAAAGCACAGCAAGAATGCTCCCTGCTATTCTATCAAATACACCTCGAGCTTGTTTTTGTATTTGTAAAGTTTGTTATTGCTTTCTGAAAGTATTTATGCTGTCAGCTTTACCTACAACATGTTTTCACAGGACTGTGCAGTTTCACAGGTAGCTAGACTGGAAAAGATTGCATAAACGATGGTTTTGCAATGCCAGCAATGGTAGCAAACTGGTATAGTACAAGGTAAACTAGCTACTCTCCACTAGATCTCAAAACTGAAAAAGAGACAAACGAAGAAGTGCAAAATTCTTAAAAAAACCAGGTTTGAGATTGGCACATTATAACATTTGTAGCAGAAGAACCCATCCAGTTGAGCCTGAATTGCAGTTACATAGCAAGGAAAGTAACAATCGTTATAGAACAATGTGTTGGGGTGCTGAATTCAAACATTTTTGTTACGTTGTGCTTTCCAGATACTGAAGGATAGTGTTCGTTGTGAAAATATCACCTGATTTGATGGACTTAATGGAAAAAATCAGTTAAATTAGGTGTGGTAGGGATAGAGACTTTTCTTTGCATGGTTTCCATATCTAGAATGTGTACGTGTGCGTCTCTAGACAGACACTAGTATGTCAGAATATTACGAGTAGCCAGCCTGCATAATAATTGGTGCAATAAATGTCAGAAAATATTTCTTCAAGAAGGTAATCCAGGCTGAAAACTTTCTTCTTTAACAATTTTTTTTAAGCTTTTGATTTCGTATGATATGGAAGCAATAAGGGTATTTTCCCCCTTATTTCTATACTGAATATTCATATTTCTGGATCTATTGTAATCAAAGGGTTTTTTTCCTATTGCAATAGGAAGTAATGATTAAAGGAGGAGGACTTAAGCATGTCCCTTGTGCAGAAGATGAGGACTTCATTCAGGCATTGGATAAAATGATGCTGGAAAATCTTCAGGTATAACTATTTTCTTAAATTAATGTAATTTGCCGTACAGCTAACTATATTTTTTTTTTTAAAGTAAATAAAAGATTAGTATGGTAAGCTATTCATTAAAGAGCATGGATTTTTTTCTTAGTTGTGACCTCTCCTCTGCAATCGACAGGTTTGGATAAGTAGCTCTTAGTAAAAGAGCTGTTAATTGCACTGTTAGTCCAGTGAACGTAGGACATGCTGGCAGATATTTTTTTGATAAATAACTGGATCAGATACTGTGCAATGTTTCTGACTTTATCCTAGACTATCCAAGCCTAGGTTTTAATATGTTTAAAATGTTTCTGCATTTAAATTTGCATAACCTTTAAGTCCTGTGATTTTTTTTCAGTTAAATTTTTTCAATGTTTAAATATTGAGTATTGCAAGCCCTGTGTGAGGAATACATTAAGAACATGCTAGAAGAAACATCTTAAATGTAGAATGTCCATTCTGAAGCGTGTTTAATCAGGTCTCTAGATTTCTTTTCTTATAAGGTTAAGTTATCTAAAATTCCTTTGAAATTTGAGGTATTCCATCCCTGTAACTTTCTACTTCGCAAGCAAGGAAATCAAAGGAAAATGTAATAAAGCCATATGTGTGTGTATGTATATGTATGTAATACTCAGACCCCCCACCCCACCCCACCCCC